CGTGACACGATGTGACGTGACGTTGATTTTTGACGTGACGTTGATTTTTGACGTGACGTTGATTTTTGACGTGACGTTGATTTTTGACGTGACGTTGATTTTTGACGTGACGTTGATTTTTGACGTGACGGCGCGAGGTCCAATTTGTATCTTCAATCCGCGTTATAAAAAGATTCTAACAGAATGTCACGATGACTTATGCCTGCATCGAGTAGTCTGTGATATTCATCCTGTCATTAAGGTGATTCGATGGACGCCATATTTCGTGTCAGAACGGCATGCGATATATCGCATCAATTGGTTCCACTTTTTCAGCTACTCGTCATTTTTCTCCAATTTTGAGATCGCAATTCTGTTGTCAGGAAACTAAAGCACTCACTTACCAATTTTAACAAAGAAATTCAACGTAATAAAGGCGTGGTTTTTTTAGAGAGAAAACATCGCATTCGATACTGATATCGAAACTGCACTCAAATGCGAGGTTTTCTCTCCAAAAAAGACACGCCTTTATTACGTTGAATTTCTTTGTTAAAATTGGTAGGTGAGTGCTTTAGTCTCCTGACAACAGAATTACGATCTCAAAATTGGAGAAAAATGACGAGTAGCTGAAAAAATTGAACCAACTGATGCGATATATCGCATGCCGTTCTGACACAAAATATGGCGTCCATCGAATCACCTTAATATTTAAAACTTTATCATCCTCGATAGATGATACGGTTCGGCCTATGTACGTCGCGTCGGTAGAGTATTGCAATGCCTGTGCCGTTCTCTGATTGGCTCATCAATTTTAGGCTTATCAAAGGGCGCGCTTTAAAATCATTGTACATACACCTGATATTGTGTTCAGAAGTTTGAGATTTAGACATTTTCATCTTGTCCGGAGTTCTACCGACATTTTATTTGTTTGTCTGAATCCAAAACTAGAATCAAAGGAGGGTACACGAATGCCTTAAACTCACCGACCCATCAGAGAGAGGTGCGAGAATTGAAATGTCAGTAAGTACTTTCAGATCTAGTCCAAGGAGGAAAGAGAAATTCGTGTTCATAGGAGGACCAATTTTTCAGGGAAGCTATTTTTATCAAGGTGGATAAAAAAATCGGAACTCGATTACGACGAAAAACACTCTCTGTAGTATAAACAAAAGTATAAAGACACTTTCAGGTCATTTCTTAGACTTATAAGGGACTTTTTTTACTTTTTTTGAAATCTTACAATTTTGAGCACTCAGGATGTGCGTTGACACCAAAAACACAAATTACTATTTTAATTGAAAATTTTGAAACTTCGTTATCTAGATGCATGAAATATTAACTTAATTTTATCAGTTATTAATCGTGGCAACAACCTTTAGAAACTCAATGCACATTTTCGTCGTCGATGATATTGTAAAGCCTCTTGACTTTTTTTTTCTTTTTAAGGTCTACCTAGCTACTATTCCTTGCAAGCAATAATTATAGCAGTACTTTAAATACTCTTCCGATGAGATTATTTTTACTACCATGTTGCCTTATACGCCTCATTTTGAAACTCGATTAAATTCTTTAATGAGCTTTCAAGAAGCGTTGCCAATTAAAAATATGTCTAATTATCCGGTAAATTAAATGGGACCGCGCGCTAACATTCTGAGGGCCATTTGAGACACCTTGGCTCAATTGTTTCATTTTTTCTCTCTCTCTCTTTCTTATTTTTAAAGTTTCCAAGTGACTAGAAGGATGGACATAATATCTAACTCACTCATTTTAGTAAAACAAACTAATTCAGCACTCTATCAAGAACATGGAATATTGCAGTTTCCAAAATAATTTACTCAGTCAAATTTTGAAATATGCCGTGTGAATGTGACAAAATTCTTAACATGCGAAAAATTTGAAAATTTAAATGTAATCCCACTGGATTCATTATTATTGAACCGAGCACTTTGTAAAATTTGCGCAGTTTTTGGTTTTCTTCGCGTAGAAATACTGTCGTTAATTTTGCAAAGCTCTTGCCAAAAACATTGTCACAAAATATCAAAACCGAGAATCTCGGCTACAAGTGTCAAATTTGTCAGGGTGCAGATTTTGCCGAATTTTTTTTTTAGCGTATAATCGGAGCACAAAAAAAATGTCGCTCAGTGGAATAAGAGCACAATGAGAACAGGAGCCGCCGGCTGTGTCCAAGCAAAGGCTGGACAGGTGGGGCAAAATTAGCATCCGCTGAATGTGCCAAAGTGCGAAACCCATGTCTTTGCTCATTCTTTTTCGGACTGTACGATGGGTATCTGATGACGATACGGTGAGGGGACGCACCGCATCATATATCTCCTCACTTGACAACAGCGCTTAACACGCGTATGTTTACGTTTCGGAGTGGCAACATTTGTGGCTAACGTAATCAGTTGGACTTGTTCACATTGAACGCGCGGCTATATGAACTGGTTGGGTTTAATGAAATCCGAACTGCCAATGGGGATCAAGAAAGCTTGCAAGCGAGACCTCAACTCTTTGGAAGAACTTTTAAAAGAACTGAATATTTTACCTGTTCCGTTTTCCGCTAGGATATGACGTGTTCCCATACTTCTTCAGGCCTTCGATGAGAAAACTTCAATTGGACGTATTTCTGTCGAACGGAACTACGTGCATTATGACGTGAGCCCTGTTATGCATGTATTCTTACGGTCTCAGGGCTCATGTCTTCATGCACATAGTTCCGTTTGATAGAAATACGTCCAATGGACCACTAGATAAGGTACAAATTTCAGCATTCTGATACATGTAACTTGACCAAAATTTTACGTTAAACACGATGCACACAACGAAAATTACCGAAATTAACTCCTTACGAAGATATTTAATGATTCCTGATGCGTGAATTCAAACCACCCGCTCATGAAAACTCAATGCTCTACGTGATTCACATCGCGCGCTAAACGTTTTCATGACAGTCTTTACGATATACAAATCTGGCAACCTCAATCTTGACACTTTGGCTCAGCTATAGCAAATTGCTTACAGTTTGAACAACACATGGTGGAAAATAAACATTACTCGATTGAGAAGCTTGTTGAAACCGTTGTAGTGGGCGATTTGACTCACGTAGAGCTTTGAGTTTCTTGTGAGCGGGCAGTTCAAATTCCTCGTAACCAATGTGAAATGAAAACGTTAATATCTTCGTTAGGAGTTGGTTTCAGTAATTTTTGTTGTGTGAATCGTGTTCTACGTGAAATTCTTGTTAAGAAACATGTATCAGATTGTTTAAATTCGTACCTTGTCTAATGGTCCATTGCAAAAATCAACAGTGGCGAGGCGTGAATGATCGATTATCGATATTTCCTCTATTTGAAGCCATGGTAAAGAATCGATTATTAAGGTGTTCGTTGCGAGCGACCTGTTAATCGATTTTCCCCCGATATATCGCAAAGCACGCCACGCCATTGAAAATCAAATATACCAAGGGAAATTTCATTTCCTAAAATAAACAACCGCATTGAGCGTATTAGCATTTAAAAGTACCCCGCGTCTGTGCTTCGTTAACTTGCAAGACTCAATAAACGATGCAAGAATTATTCAATTTTGTGGGCAAATTACTTTTTTCGGAAAAAAAAGAGACTGCACCGTTCACTCGTGGATCAATTCAGTGGGAGATCTTTCCTCTGCGCGATGGAAAAAAAGCTATTTCCTTTGAAGGGCGTGGCAAAAGAGCCTATCGCGTTAAGGCAAGTAGTAATTAGAATATGATAAAAAAAAATCCACGCCATCTAGTGCGTTTTTTAGCAAGTCTTTTTTCCCCCGTCCTCGCAGTGAAAGTTGAGTGAATGGACGGTATTTTTCGCAAACGAATTCGATTAAAATCTCCTCTTGGAGCGATGCCGATGGGAGATGCATGTTTCGAAACAGCTTCGGCTGGCTGCAGACTCAGACGATAAAATCCAGATCGGCCCGTCCAGGTTAGCTTCTGTGAGTTGACGGTAGAGCCTGAGACAAATTTTAGCGGTAATAAAGCTTACGCAAGTAATTTAAGTTTTAAATGGTACGCAATTATTTTAAAGTAAAAAAGATGATGCTTTGAGCTATTTTTCACACATACTTACACATTTTCTCACTGAAAGGATAATATTTATGCCAAAATATCGTTACAACGACTGTAAAAATAGTGTATTTCCTTCAGAAAATACACTAAAATCCTCGTTTTGTTGCGATGTTTCTCTGGAAAATTCTCTGAAAAATCGTGCGGAGAATACTGACAAATTTTCCTGAAAATTTGTGTTTTTTTAAAGAAAATGTTGCGACATCCGGAGGTTTATGTCGTTTTTCCATTCACGGAAAAAATTTAATTGCTGATTTATCAACTCAATTGCTAAAAAAAAGTGACTGCAATTTTTCAATGTAGATTTCACAACACAAAAATGCTACTTTAACCACCCCCCTGGTTAAAGTAGCTTACAATAGTGGTTAAAGTAGCATTTTTTTGTTTTAAAATCTACGTTGAAACATTGCAGTCTTTTTGTTTTAGCAATTGAATTGTTAAATCAGCAATTGAATTTTTCCCGTGTAGACCGGGTGCCCCTCTGCAGCGTCGCAATCCGAGATACGTGCTTTTAAAGTTTCAAAGTCGATCCACGTGGAATTTAAAATACCTCTGATATCCTCTGATATGTGATCAATACGTGACTGTCCATGAAATGATAAAACCTCCCTGCAAAAAAAAAAAAAGGACCAAAAACAGACCAATATCCGCTCGAGTAAGAACGGGCGGTGGAGGTATGACGTAAAATCGAATCGATAAACGGGATATTACTCATGATGATGAGAACTTTGACAGGAATGAGAGGAATATGACGTCATCGTGGGAACGGAAGCGGCGCGCTGCGGCGGGCAGGCGTCTTACTCGCTCGACAACCGGGACCGCGGCCGCGTCCATTCCAGGCAGAATCGGAAACTTGTCCAAGATCAGTGCGATGTCCGCATTCTGTCCACCAGCTTCCCGTCACGTTTCATTTCTCCGACCGCCCCTCAANACCAACATGTTTACAGTAATTACACCTAGAGCGTCTGTACCTACAATTCCTTCTTTCATGCTCAACATTGCAAGAGCGACAAGAGACATTGATGAACTTCCTTTGATTTGGCTGAGTCGAAGACTGCTTATCACTAGAGAAGTTTGGCTTGTTACCTTGATTTGAGCGGTGTTGAGATTTAGAACGGAAATTTGATGATTGCTTCTTCTTGACCTTTGGTTTGCTATCGTAGAACTTGTGAACGGTTGCTGGCTGGTTTGGTTTCAGATGAGAGGAAGCCTCCTGTGATGCTTCAAGGGCTTGAGCGATCTTGAGAGCTTCTTCGAACTGATCTGGCTGTTTAGTGATAATCTCGTCACGGATGTCATCATCGAGCACTCCATGGATGAACTGAACAATTAGAGAATAATTTAAAAAATCATCGAATTTACAGAATCTTGCTGCCGCTTTGAGGCGAGCCGCAAATTCATGGACCTTCTCTCCATCTTTCTGGAAAACTTTGCGAAAATTGATGGCTTCAGTATATTTGTTCTTTTTCTTAACAAAATGATCGATGAGCATGGAACAAATTACATCAAAGGAGAGTGAATCTACCTTAGAGGGGTAAGCAAGGTCTCTGAGAGTGGAGTTGAGCTCTGCCCCCATGTGAATACGCAGATTGGCTGCCCATTCTTCCTGAGGTACTTTACACTGACCTAACTGAAGTTTAAACCGATCCAAATAGTCATCTAGTAATTCAGGTGAATTCAGATTATAGGATTCAAAGGTGAATCGGGGAGGCCGATTTGAGGATCCAGCCTGTTGAGATAACTGGAGTTTCGTGAGCTGTGTAACGAGATTTGTTAACAGAGAAATTTGATCATGGATGGAGGGCGATTCTGACCCTGTGGAACCATTAGCATCGTCAGGCATTTCAGTGAAGAAATAGTAATGAAATTGAGATTACCAAGAGACGTGTAGATTCGATCGAAATTCGAAAATCCGTTTCAACGTGCAACAAGTGAGTGGCCTAACCTTATCAGCAGCGCAGCGCCGTGACGGGAGCGGTGAAAAAAATTAGTCACCTGGAACGTGATACAAATGGCGCAGCGTTTCATGGTTTCGTGAAAGTTCTTCGTGCTTCGGATCCCGTACTCGTCGCCATTATAATATCGCAGAAGATGCCTTTGAAAGGAAAGGTGAAAAAGGGAGACACTGGTCTAAGAAGAAGATCACATTTTATTGATAAGCTAACAAGTGCCCAACCAGGCTTCACGACCTACTAGGGCAAATCTCCCTAGCAATACATACTACCAACTTGACGGATACCACAATCGTGGGAACGGAAGCGGCGCGCTGCGGCGGGCAGGCGTCTTACTCGCTCGACAACCGGGACCGCGGCCGCGTCCATTCCAGGCAGAATCGGAAACTTGTCCAAGATCAGTGCGATGTCCGCATTCTGTCCACCAGCTTCCCGTCACGTCTCATTTCTCTGACCGCCCCTCGAAAAAGCAACTTCACTCCACAAACCCAAATTCTTTAACCACGTCAATTTTCTTGAGGAAGGACGGGAAATCTTGGGAGCTCTTGGGAGGAAACACTCGCCATACTCTGCCGTGCTAAGAAAGAACGCCGTATGAACCTTCAGGCGTTGCCAAATTTCACCCGATGAAACGTGAATTTCCCGGTGAACTTATGAACATTTTTCCATCAAATTAATTAGCTAATTTTCTTTGCAATTTCACCTGATGTTCCTGAAAATTTCAAGAAAAAACATTCATAAATTTCCACAGAAATTAGTATCTTATCGATGGAGATTTGGCAACTCTCGAATGATCATACGGCATTTTTCCTTAGCACGGCAGTAATGTCGTCATAGCCCCGAGAGCGGCGCAAGTCTCAAGTTTTTGAAATCGGGTTTCCTTCAAAATTCTCCTACCGTGGGAGATTGAAACTTCAAATATTCACCCTCAAAATCACGTCGTTTGAACACGAAACTTCAAACCCTCAATTCTCTTATAAAAGTAATATTTTCGTCTTCTTACGTTGACGGTGAGTCAAGTCAATGGACCATTAGACAAGGTACGAATTCCAGCATTCTGATACATGTTTCGTAACTAAAATTTCACGCAGAACACGATGCGCACAACAAAAATTACCGCAATTAACTCCTTACGAAGATATTTAATTATTCTTTATGCGTGAATTCAAACCACCCGCTCATGAAAACTCAATGCTCTACGTGATTCACATCGTGCGCTAAACGTTAACATGACAGTCTCTGCGATATAAAAATCTGGCAACCTCAATCTTGACGCTTTGGCTCAGCTTTAGCAAACTGCCAATAGTTCGAACATCACATAGTGAGAAATGAACATTGCTTGATTGAGAAGCTTGCTGAAACCGTTGTAGTGCGCGATTTGACTCACGTAGAGCTTTGAGTTTCTTGTGAGCGGGCAGTTCAAATTCATCGTAACCAATGTGAAATAAAAACGTTAATATATTCGTTAGGAGTTGGTTTCAGTAATTTTCGTTGTGTGAATCGTATTCTACGTGAAATTCTGGTTAAGAAACATGTATCAGATTGCTTAAATTAGTACCTTGTCTAGTGGTCCATTAACTTGTGGCCGCAGTCAAACGAGAGTTCAACTCAGAGGCAATGGAAGCAGCATCAAGTTCATTAAAGCCATTTTAGAGTCGATTTGGGTCGTTTGAAGTCACTTATAACCACATGAATTAAATCAACTCAAATCTGACTCAAGAGTTGTGTTAAATTTAAAGCGATCTATCCTCGACGTCGAATCAGAACATTCCGATCTCTAACATTTAGTAACGTACAGTGACGATTTTTAAAATGCGCATTATTTTATCAACTTCAACACTCCTTCCGCTTCCCAGGTTAAATTCTGTGTACAAATACCTGACGTAACATAACTTGGACCGCGTTAAACAGAAAGGAACCAAGCCACATCAGCTATTGCCAAATTTAACAGGAGAATTCAATTTTTTACGAGACAACGTTTGTGCGGATTCCTTTGAAAATTTTAAGAAATTTACTTCGTAGTATCGAAAAAATCCATAGAAATTTGCCCAAAAATCCGTACAACTATTTTCATGTAAAAAATTAAATTGCCCGATTAAATTTGGCAATAGCTGATGTGGCTTGGTTCCTTTCTGTTTAACTCGGTCCACTTGATGTGATGCTCGGGTATTTTAAGAAATCACCTTATTAATTTATACAGTTAATCTTCAACTGAGCGATCGAGTAGCGAATCGTCTTCCGAAGTTCTGCAGTTCCGATTGAATTAACTAAAAGTGGAAGTCTGCATTGATAAGCCGGGCCTAACCTAGAGGGCAGATTAAATCATTTGTTAGGCTCGTCCTTGCCGAATTGATTAATTTCAACGGAAGCGGCAACATCGCTATTATGTGGCGGTGACGTGCGCGCGCCTCTAAGTGTTTCGGGCACATGACGTCGCGACGCTACGCGGCGTGTTAATATTACACCAAGAAGTGGGGAATGGAAGTTGATCGGCGTCTCAAACGTTACATTGTTGCCAGACTTGAAATTTAAACAGAATTTTGAGTTAAGCTAAGGCTGATTTTAGCGTGAATTTTGGCAAGCAAGAGTGGGATCGCGGTGCCAAGTAGGTCTTCCTCAGAGTCCACTTGTCCAATGCCCTCGTGAAGATAGTTCAATCGCCAACACCTTGGTGTTGAGATGACGTTCATCGAGCAGTGGCGCACAGTGGATCAAGTCAATCAGAGAGGTCGGACATGACATTTTTGACTAAAACTGCAGATTTTCATGTTTAAGGTGATTCGATGGACGCCATATTTTGTGTCAGAACGGCATGCGATATATCGCATCAATTGGTCCCATTTTTTCAGCTACTCGTCATTTTTCTCCAATTTTGAGATCGCAATTCTGTTGTCAGGAGACTAAATCACTCACTCATCAATTTTAACAAAGAAATTCAATGTAATAAAGGCGTGGTTTTTTCAGAGAGAAAACATCGCATTCGATACTGAAATCGAAACTGCACTCGAATGCGATAGTTTCTCTCTGAAAAATCAACGCCTTTATTACGTTGAATTTCTTTGTTAAAATTGGTAAGTGAGTGCTTTAGTCTCCTGACAACAGAATTGCGATCTCAAAATTGGAGAAAAATGCTGAGTAGCTGAAAAAATGGGACCAATTGATGCGATATATCGCATGCCGTTCTGACACAAAATATGGCGTCCATCGAATCACCTTAATCCGTCACATTTTAAATTTTAAGAGGTGCCTCTGGGAGAGAAATTCCACGAGGGAACCAATGGATCCACTTTTAAAATCTCAAAGTTTTGTATAAAGGGAGTTATAGGCTTTTAAAGTTTTCAAATTTTGTCGAAGCTCTCCCATTGACTCGATCCACTGTGTGTGGCGGTGACCGTTCGTCGAGAGACTTGAACGCTGGAGTAGGAAAAGTAACTTGTCTATCAAAACGCTGCAAGCGCCTATCAGGCCAGCAAACCAGTGACTAATCAGGCCAAATCAGTGACTGGAGATGCAAGGAGAAAAACACTTATGTACATTGCGATATCTCAGGTCCTTTATCATTACCTGCAGCTCTGTGTAAGCTCTCTCCAAGGAGAATGAAAATCGGCTGAAGGGACCAAAATTTGGTTCATGTAAAACAATGAAACTTTGAACCGGGAAAATCTGTCCGGCAGCCGCATTGTTGTAACTTTAACTGGCTATGTCGGCAAAATTGGACAAGAGATAGCCCTATCTGCACCGTGCAATATATCGATTTTTGATTCCCGTGGTGTCGACATAAATTTCAACAATTAGGCTGCAGGAATCATTTGTGTCAGAAATGTCTCTAGTAAGAGGTAAGAGACCGTTTAGCGTTGGGGGGGGGGGGCTTCAGTTAGTGAAACACGGGGTTAGGTCAATCGGTCTGCAGCAATTTTGCCCTGGTTTTCAATAAAAAAACAATACAAATTTCTGGCTTTCCTGGTGGTCTTATTGAAATTTGTGAATGATTTTTGACTCTGCCTTTCCTCAGAATTCAATAATGAAATCAATTGTGGAGAGCGCATTTAAGGTTTCAAAAATGTCTAGTGATGGAAACAGTTTCGACGCGAAGATGGTCAGGTAGACCATAAGTGACACTCTCCATCCTGAAATGTTTTTCAGTACGACGATTAGCATGGTCTACGAATCTTACCTTTATTGGATTTTGTGCAACTATAGACTGACAGTTTTCAGACTAGCTCCTTCCGTGTTTCTATTTATGTCCGCATGATTAAAAGGTATTATGATACTAGGGGGCCCTGCCTCCTGACCGCTACGCGGCCCAACCCCCGAGAGGGCGCTTCGCTCCCTCAGGCCCGCTTCGCGGGCCCTATACGCATATGTATAGGCAAAAATGTTCTTCCAAAAATTGAGTTAAACCTTATACCTTGGACCTTGAACCTTGAACCCTGAGGATGCACCGTTCCTTAACTCTTCGAATGAGGAGCCCTCCACGAGCTTTTCCATTGTTTTATTGTTTATTCGAGTCACTCAGGTAGAATCCCACACCTTGACGTTTCTAGCGGAAACGACATATCTCTCACGCTATTAACATTGGACTTAAGTGACATGAGCTTTAAAAGCTCTACAACATTAAAAGTTCGGGGTTTCATAATTTTTTGCACATCTACATCTACTACTGATGACATACATGCAAAGGTCGTCCTCATCGGTCCGGCAGTTCGTCAGAAATAGTGCTTCCAAGATTTTGCTCGTAGCTGTATAATATAGATAAACAGATAAGACTATCAATATTAGAAAGATAAATATTTCATGTGGGAGAATGTTACTTGGCCTACCTCAAACATTCAAAGCGATTTACCACGGTGCGTAACCTCCGGACCCCCTCGGTGTCGAAACCGTTTCCTCTGATTAAGGCAGAAAACGTTACAAGGAGGGGCAGTTTCATACTAGGCTTAGTAGTTTTGAACTCAAATTTTAAAGAATCGACCAATGAAGCCTTCCGTTAATTGGCGTGCATATAATAAAGATAAATGTGAACTTTAATTGGTATCATGGAATAATTATCAAACGACTCGGCTTGGTGGCCGAGACCACTTTCAGTGTGCACTTTAGCCGGACGAAAAGCTAAACATTTCAATCTGATGGCTCAATATTGTCGGTGATTAAGCACAAGGTCATCCTGCACTTGTTGCAGGCTCGGTGTCTTTCTCTTGCTATCACTTGGACGGCGTTTATGGTCTACTTTTTTGCGCGAACACCGAGACACACGCCAATTTGACGAACCTCTAAAACCTGATTCAAAACTGGTTCGCAGCT